CCGTGCGCTGTGGGTGACAGGGTAGAGCCATAACCTCCCCATCGGCCCTGCCCTGAGTGTGAGAGTGGTGGCGCCCCAACCCCCTGATCGACCCTGCTCTGTGGGTGATAGAAGGCAACGCCCCAAACCCCTGATTGGCCCTTCTCTGTGCATGACAGGGTACAGAACCCCAACCCCCCTGATGGGCCCTGCTCTGTGAGTGACAGGGGGTGGCATCACAACCTCCCGATCACCCTGCTCTGTGCATGACAGGGAGCAGCGCCCCAACTCCCCAATCGGCCCTGCACTGAGCCCAACCAGGGGCTGCACGTAGGGATTGGGCCTGCCCTCTGCCACCCGGGAGCAGGCCTAAGCCAGCAGGTCATTATCTCCTGAGGGGTCCCAGACTGCTAGAGGGCACAGGCCGAGCTGAGGGACCCCCCTCTCCCCCGAGTGCACAAATTTTTGTGCACCGGGCCTCTAGTTAAAATATAAAGGACAATTAATGCTAACTGTTTCCACATAATGGTAATTACATTTGTGCTTCTATCAGTGGTACTAAATGAGCCTATTATTCAAGTCGGTTTATTTCTCTAAGAGTGGGATGTGAGTGGAGCTCCTTTTGGTTCTTGTGGCTGTAAAGGGTGGGAAATATTTTTATGGGCAAAAGGTCTAATGCAAAGCCTGGCATGTGGTAAAGTTTCAGTCATAATAACTGTTTAACTAAGAAGGAAAACTAGAGAGACCAAAGAAATTCTATATCATAGAAATTGAATATCATTCTTTCTCAGAAAAGTTCATAAAAATTGTTGGTTCTCAGAATAGCAAATATGTATTTGGCTAAGAAAAAAAAAGAATAATTTCTCTCTCTCTCTTCCTCTCTCTCTCTCACTCTCTCTCGCTCTCTCTTTTTCTTTGGTTATTCCTCATCCAAGGATATTTTCTCCATTGATTTTTTAGAGGGAATGGAAGGGAAAGGGAGAAACAGAGAGAGAAACATTGATAGTAAAGAGACACATCAAGCCCTGACTGGTTTGGCTCAGTGAATGGAGCGTCGGCCTGCAGACTGAAGGGTCCCAGGTTCGATTCCGGCCAAGGGCATGTACCTTGGTTGCGGGCACATCCCCAGTAGGGAATGTGCAGGAGGCAGCTGATCGATGTTTCTCTCTCATCGATGTTTCTAACTCTCTATCCCTGTCCCTTCCTCTCTGTAAAAAAATTAATGCAATATATATTTTTTTAAAAAAGAGAGAGAGACACATCAATTGGTTGCTTCCCGCAAGTGCCCCAAATGGGGCCTGGATCTAGCCTGCAGCTCAGGTACATGCCCTTGACCAGAATCAATCCCAGGACCCTTCCGTCTGCAGGACCATGCTCCAACCACTGAGCCAAACCAGCTTGGGCTAATTTGCTCTTTATGCCAAATCCCTGGGCTCTCCCTAAAATAGGGTAATTATACTAATTTAATTTGCTTTCTTCTCAAAGTTTAATAAGGAGACAAAATGCTTTAGCCCACAGAGTATGACACTCTTTATCTACTATCATTGGAGAGGGACTCAAACGTTTTCTGCCCAAATATATTTACTCTCAACCCCCACTTGAAGTTTCCATTTTTACTGTCTCTGATTGCCAGAGCAATTGCAGTGGAATAGAGCAGGGACTCGAGGTGAGGTAGACCCACCAGCAGACACGGCAGGCACATGAAGAAGCTGGGAACCCACCGAAAGTTCTAGGAGGAAGTCTAGTCCGCCAGGTAGAGAGCAGTATTCAGAGGATTACCAACTAGGCCGAGCATGGTCAGTGTCAGAAAGGGTCACACAGGGCATTCCCCAGGGTCGGTGATAATATTGTGGACACCTGTCTTCAGGAACAGGGTTACATCACAAAGCTGGGACTTAACACAATTTAGTCTTGTTAGAGGACTGAGCAGATCTAGGGCAGAGGGAGAAAAGCATGGAATCAGATAAGGGATGGAGAAAGTGGGATGGTGGTGTTACACACTTGTTGGGAACAATAATAAGAGTGGGATTGTTTCTGAAAGGTCCTTCCTAAAAATTCTCTTTTCCATCAGCTCAGTTGGAGAGCAGGTTGATCCCATGGTTGGGCCTGAGGGGAGTGAGATTTAGGTCAGTAAAGAAGGAGCATTTGTTCAGCTGTTCATGGATTAAGAAGTCCAGGGAAGAAGAGCATGAAATTAACTCAGAGATCTGGGGGGGGAAGAGAGAAAAGGGAGCAGATGCGGGCAGCAAGCCAAGCGTTGCAGGGAAAGATGCTGCAGTGGAAAGAGGAGAAACAGAGAAGTCAAAATTTTCCTAGTCATCTGTTTTGCTTATAAGGCTAAAGATTCATGAATTTTTAAAATATATTTTATTGATTTTTTACAGAGAGGAAGGGAGAGAGATAGAGAGTTAGAAACATGGATGAGAGAGAAACATCGATCAGCTGTCTCCTGCATATCTCCTACTGGGGATGGTCCTGCAACCCAGGTACATGCCCTTGACCGGAATTGAACCTAGGACCTTTCAGTCCTCAAGCCGACGCTCTATCCACTGAGCTAAACTGGTTTTGGAAAGATTCATGTATTTTTAAAATGGGAGGTAAAAGCCTATGATAGAGAAAGATGAGATGGGGCTTTAGGAATAAAACAAGTAATTAAATAGAAGGAAAAAACAACAGTGAAATTAACCTCCGATAAAGAAGAAAAAATGATCAAACTTTCTAACTCCTTACAGGCATAAAATGGAGTTAAATGTGAAAACATTTTGAAAGGTTAAAAGCATTTTTCAGATGCAAGGTGGGTTGTGAAGAATCATAGAGAAGACTGTTCAGAGGCCACCCAGATTATAGTTCTACCTTGTTTCCCTGCTATGACTGTTGCTTTTCTTTTCCAGGGAGGTCCAGTAGGAGACATGGAGCAGATTGACAGTTATTTAGAAGCTTTGCTTAAAGAAGATCATCTTTTTGGGAATACTTTCAATAAAGGAAGTACAGATGCAGGACATAGTCTCCCTTTAGAGAACAATGAAAGTACTTCTCAAAACTAAAAATCAGAAAAGTCATTCCTTTCTTTAAAATGCTAATAAGAAAAAGGAAACTTATTTTCAAAAAAATATTTCCTCTTGTTATTGTGAAGTTTGTCCTTTTTGACACTGAAGAAATTGTACTAGTTATACTTTGGAAATGGAGGGTGATTAACACTTTACATACTTCCCCGTCATACTCCCTAACCCTTTCCGTTCTTTCAGGAACTATTTCTCTAGTTCTGTAATTCCCAGGTGAGCAACTAAGAAAGATGAAAATGCCACTTAGGCTTAAATTTTGATTTTACTTAAAAAACTGGAAAACAGTGGTTTTCAAAATCAATATACACAGAACTACAGAATCACCTCCTTCTGAAACGTGTTGAGAAAGACAAGGATTGTGCCCTTTCTCCACTACAGCCCATACTCAGCAGAAAATACAAATCTTCAAAAGACTTTGAGCTATACTATAGATCATAATTTTCTTATTGTGCTATTGTAAAAGAAACACTCTTCTAAGTATAACTTGAATGCACATTAAACATATATAAGCATTGTGTTTTTACATTTTCTTTGATAACTGCTTTTTTTGTGTTTGTTTAGAAATGTCTGTTGTGTTGTACAAAAACAATAAATATTTAATATTTATTTGTGGAGTTGTATATTTTAATTTTATGTACATGCACAAAGCATAAAATTCAGAACTTGTGAAGTAGGAATATGGTGCAAATTCTTCACCCCCTGCTTGTCTAATAGTTTTCTCAAGAGGCATGTTTTTACCAGTATTGTGAGTCCATTCAAGTAAAATCAGTGCATATGAAACCATACAAATCATTATCCTATCTAATAATAGACAAACATGGTAATTAA